CAAACGATCTGCTCACTCGATTGTAGGGATCGATAAATGCAGACGATCCTGCGATATTTGCACTTTCAACGCGTCCTAAATACGGTTGGCATGTGACAGCGTTTTAACAAATTGGATATTCAATACTGCTCAATCTCATAACAACGATTGCGGCGGCAAAGGCTAGGCAGCCTAGCTGCTGCTGGTAGAGACGATAGTCTGCTGGAGAGAGTGGTGAGCAAAATGGTGTGGTGAGCTTGATGGGGATGACGTCGAACTGTTCCGCGAGCGTTTCGACGTACATAGCGGCCAACAGATGTATAGTATTGGCAGACAGGGTGATGTTTAGCCCCTGAAATTGAGTAACGTTGTGCAAGACGCTCACTTCTAGCTTCTCCTTGATGTCATGCTTGAAGCGATTGAGTAGAGGTGTACAGGATGTCGCCCACGTAGGCGACGAGTAGAATGAAATTTCCGTGGGACAGGCATGAACATTTGGTCGTAATCAATGAATTGCGTTTGCTCAGAGCCGCGTACGACCAAGCGCGCTTTATACCTTTCGATTGAGCCATCCGCCAATATTTTGATCCGAAATACCCATTTTCAAATGAGAATCTTCCTTCCTTTTGCTGCTGATCGTGGTACTAACTTCCATGTGCCGCGTCGTTTGAAGTGAAGCTACTTTGACGGCCATGGCTGCTCTCCACTTCTCTGCATCAAGCCCTTGCAAGGCCTGGCGAACCGTCGTGGGCTCAGTGGGGTGTTGGTTCCAGCAAACTGCGTTGGCGTGACCGAGAATGCAAACTCGGTTAAGTTGAAGGCTCCAATGTCTTCTCAGCTCCACCACGTCGTCGTCGATGTTCTCACCTGGAAATTCACGAATGTTGTCGCGTGAGTCATCTAGATTTGGGACTTCCTCCATGATTGAGTGCATTTCAGCACTTTCGTAGATTTTGCTGAGCTTATAGTGCTTCATTTGGGTCGGTGTTGTTTGGGATGAATGTCGGAGTGTTGAACTCGTCTGTAACGGGGATGAAGGGTGACTCGTCTCCGAATTGATTGTTCTCTGATGCTTCTGCCACGTCAGCTTCATCTTGGTCTGTCGCGAAGCTGTGCTCCCCCCAGAAGATGTTGTCTGGTGCTTGCTATGTAGTGCGGTGGGTGGCTAAGTCGAGGATGGTCCATGCATGGTATTTGGGTTCGATGCCGAGGTGGATGCCCCATCTTGCGCGGACCTCGAATTTTCCGGTTCGGGCATTGTGGGGGCGGTACTATACCATGCATCCGAAAACTCTTAACATCCGTGTGTCCGAATTCTCCCTGTCCACTCCATGAATGGTGAACTGTTGTTGGGCACGGCTTTCGAAGAAATAATGTTGTAAAAACGTACTACAGGGGCCATCACGTAGGGCCAGTAACCACAACCTCCGGCTCTTGTTCTTCTGTGGTTGTAGGTTGTTGAGTAAACGTGCTCCTATCTTCACCACTGTTGGTGTCTCTCTCCCTCGCGGTGGTCCCTAGCCGGTTCCGCGCATTGCCCACACAGCGTCCACAGTGTCCCAGCCAGTGGCCATGTCCAAGCCTGTAGGTTTTTCCACTCATGGCCAATCAAAACCTTGTCACCATCCTCCCTGACTTGTGACTTCTTCCTCGACTCTTTGTGGTCCTTTGCCTCTATGTGTTGAGGAGGAGGCGACTGGAACGGTAAGGGAGTGACGAAGTACGTCTGGTCCAGGACGCTCTAGATCTGTTTCTTCTAGATATGTCCACCGAGCCAGCGCGCGTTGTCCTGGATTTTCAAGGACGATGATGCGGTCTCGATCGCCGACCGTTCCAAGTGCGTAAAAGTTCAAGATGAACACACCATTCTTGTTCCTTGTCTTTCCGATGAGGGTGCCTTTGTAAATTAAGTGGCCGCAGCTCGACTCCGCACTTCACCAGCTGGGCGGAGAGAAGATTAAAGCGAATGTTTGGGACGACAAGGACGTCACTACTGTGAATCAAGAAGTTGGTGTTGCGGGACTCAAGCTGGATTTCGCCGCGACTCTTCGCCCAAATCGTTTGATTATTGGCGATTGTGATTTAGACTTCGTTCAGTTGCGGCTCGCTGTTGAGGATGAATGTGTCAGAATCCCAACCACTAGACCATTGGGATAAAAGGGCTTGTTAAGTAGCGGGTCAGTGCGCCCATAACCCCCCAGGACAACGAGCCTGTAACCCTTCCCTAGGATCAATCGGGGATCACCAGTGGACCTCTGACACCCCCCCGCACTGGGATGCCCGAAGTGCACACACTGGGATTCGAACCCGAGACCTTCGCTCTGATACCATGTCAGAATCCCAACCACTAGACCATTGGGATAAAAGGGCTTGTTAAGTAGCGGGTCAGTGCGCCCATAACCCCCCAGGACAACGAGCCTGTAACCCTTCCCTAGGATCAATCGGGGATCACCAGTTGACCTCTGACAGAATGCTGTAGAGGTGACCATGTGCTGACCGCAGCAAATATCCAGGTACCACGTATTGAAATTGTGCGTTCTTCCCTTGCGATGTTGGCGATTGTTGGTGTGGTGTGATAACATGTCTGTGTCTTGCTCATTGTTCCATCCTTCGTCGTCTTCTTCTGCAATGCGTGCAGGTGGTGACTCTACCATCTATTGTGGCGCTTCGCAATTGAAGGGGATTTTCCCAGCCGTTAGCTCGTCGAAGGTTGGGTCGTTATTGTCATCTTTTCGACAGAACCTTCTTCTTTTGCAGGTGGGCCTCTGAACATATCTTCGCGATGACCGCAACGCACCATACACGTTAATGCCTTGCTTTTGCCTTTGTTGTTGTTGGCAGGAATGCGCAAAGGGGCTTGTGAAGTGCTGGCGACGGCAGGCGGAGATATGATTTGGTTGCGTGTTGAAGGTTCGGCGGCTTGCTGGTATGGTGCCATCCCCGACTGTACTTGCGCATAATTGTTGTTGCTTTTGCCGGTTTTCGCTCCCTTGCCCTTGTAGCATTGCTCGATGGTGTGACCCATTTTCTTGCAATATTTGCAAATCAGTCTCCTTTTGTCTGGTGCTACTTCTCCGTTTCCTGCGTAAAGGGCGATTGTCTCCTCCTTGTTCCCCCTTTCATTTTACAGGTCGATCTCCTGCTGATCGTCGAGGAGAGAAGTGTAGAGGTAAGTTTCGGAAATTGCGCCTTGAGCGCGGAGGTGTGACTTGCATTAACGCCACTCTGGACCCAGGCCAGCAAGGATGATAGTCACAAAAATATCGTCAGGGGAGTGTCCGCCGCGTTTTCTTTAATTGATCTCTCGATTTTCTTCAGCGGATGATGTATGTTCCTTCTTTCTTGCCAGGAAGCATTCCGACGTTGTTGAGTTGCCTTAGGAGACGACAGTTGTCCCACGCTCTCGTGTTGGGCGGTGGATGGTGCTCCTTGTGCTGGTGTTCCTTGCATTTGTGATTGTGCTTGTTACGCCCGTGCGATGTCATTTTGCAGCGACGTGCATTCTGCTGTTAGCGCCGCAATTTATTCGGAGCCTTTGTGCAGTTGTTACAGTAGTGCGTTCAGGCGCTCCTGCATGAAGTTCGCAAGATCAACATGTTCAACTATATTGGAGGGCGGCGGCCGGTCTTAGTGCTAGGAACAGTCGTAGCTGCACGCGCTTACGAGAGAGCGCGTGGACAGCGGCTCCTAGTACGCTAAGGGGCGTGAGTCCCTTCGAGTGAAAAATCAAAAGTTGGTTTCTGCTGGTTGCGGAAATGCGCGGTCTGAAAGGAAAGTGGCTCTGATAGCCAAGTGTTATGGGTGCGATGGAGCGAGGCAACGAGGATTGCACTAAATTGTCAAACGAGTACAAAGAATGAGCCAATGCATGAGCGAATAGTGTTAAGCGAAAATGCAAACGGTAACGCGGTGCGTGCAAGCTAGCTAGTGCGATGTTGTTATCGAGGATCGAGCTAGTCCCGAAGCGTAGGCTGATTCGGCCAGGCCAGCGATGCATGGTTTGGGAAATGCGGCGCGCGAAGGTTGGCGAAGCCTCGTTAGCAGTAACTGTGAGAGTACGACGGCTTATGCTGGCTTTGCTAGCTTGCCTGGACTTTATTATGCTATATCTAGCTTGGGTTTATTTTATCATGCATAGATATGCTTGATTTCCTAGGTTAGGTGCATTCCTATATTTTATTATAGTTATAGCACCGAACCAGGTTACGTGTACCGAACTCAAGCCTATTCGGTTTCCACCGAATTGCTTTCTACTGAGTTCGGGAAGGTTCTGTTCAGGACGCTTCGCGACCCTCAGAACATTCGAGTAACACCTGGGTAACTGGCCTTATGTCGAGACTATAAATAGCCTCGTGCTGTACCCAGGTGAATCAATCAATTACAATTCTCTTTTCTCAGCTCGATCCTAGATCCTCACAGTACCGGGAGAACAACGGTTGGTCTTGTATACGGTGTTGTGTCAAATGATATACATTATATTGATAGGCTATAGTGAGTAGGGCTTTAGAGAGTACAAGACTTTCTAGGTTTAGCATTTGTATATCCCACCTTACTAGTCATCACCTTTCCGCTATGCAACACTCTTAAGATGGTATCATGAGTAGGTACGCTCCTAGCGTAGCCTAGCCTAGTACTGCTGCACCGCTCCGTAATCACTCCGTCGCTCCGTAATCACCTAGCCTACGTAGTGCGCGCCACCCAGCACAGAAACGCGCGCCCGTGCTCTGCCTTAGCCTGCCCCGTTCTCTGCCTTAGGCTGCCCCGTTCTCTGCCTTATTCTGCCCCGCGCTCTGCCTTTGGCTGCCCCGCGCTCTGCCTTAGGCCGCCCCACGCTCTGCCTTTGGCTTACCCGTGCTCTGCCTTTGGCTTCCCCACGCTCTGCCTTAGGCTGCCCCGCGCTCTACCTTTTGCTTCCCCGCGCTCTGCCTTAGGCTGCCCTGCGCCCTGCCTTGGGCTGCCACGCGCTATGCCTTAGGCTGCCTTAGGATGACACGCACTGCCTTGGGCAGCCACGCACTACCTTAGGCAGCGCGCCCCACGGGCAGTGCGCCCTGTAGGCCGTGCGCCCCACGAGTAGCGCGCCCCGCAGGTATCGCACCCCGCGGGTATCGCGCCCCGCAGGTAGCGCGCCCCGCAGGAATAGTGCCCCGCATGTAGCGCGCTCTACGGGTAGCGCGCCCCGCGGGCAGCGCGCCACGCGGGTAGCGCACCCCGCAGGCAGCGCGCCCCGCAACGCTTTAGCACAAGAAAAATAATTAATTGATCAAAACCTGAAAAAAAAAGGGGGTTTTGGGTGGCCCTGCGACTGTCGCCCGCGTTCCTACCTGCCGGACGACCTGCACGGCCTACATCCCGCAGCCGCCTGTCCTGCAGCCCCTACTGCCGCACGTACTTTCCACTGCCATTGGCTCTACTTGCGAACCGACAGCCCCACTTACTGTCTCTAGGTCCAACCGTTCCTACCTCAAGCCAGCCCTAGCTCGCAGTTTTCTAGCTCCAGCCGTTTCAGCTCCAGCAGTTCTAGCTCCAGCCGTTCTCGCTCCCCCCGTTCTTGCTCCAGCCCTTCTAGCTCCAGCCGATTCAACTCTAGCCGTACTAGCTCCAGCCGTTCTAGCTCCAGCCATTCTCGCTTGAGCCATTCTAACTGCAGCCGCCTACAGTCCCTTGTCACTCCTCGCTCCAGCCGCTCCTCGTTCCACTCGTTCCTAGCCTGGCGGTCCTAGCTGTTTCTTCCTCCAGCCGGACCTAGCTCCAACCACTCATTCTCCAGCAGCTACTAGCTCCAACCGTTCCTAGCTCCAACCACTTATAGCCCTAGCATGCCGTTCCTTGTCATTTCGTGCTCCAGCCGTTCTTGCTCCAGCCATTCCTCCCTCCAGCAGTTTCTAGCTCCAACAACTCCTGCTCCAGTAGTTCCTCGCGCCTGTTGTCCTGCTAGCCTTTTACCATGGCGTCCACTTGGGTCTTACAGTGGCAGGGACAGCAGCGGTTTCAGCAGTGGGGACCCCAGCAGCCGTGGCACTCTTCGCAGCTGTGGCACCCTCCGCAGCCGTGGGGGCCTCGTGGTCCGGGGAGCGTCTGCCCAGACGGCTGGAGGGGTAGTTGTGGTGGTTGCGACGTTGGACCCAGCCCGTACCGGATCCTGACTGGCCCTCGTGCTAGCACTACTTGCTGGCGTCCTGACCACTCTCCATTGCGCTGCTACAGCCGCCTCGACGACCTTTACCATGAGCGTTTTGGGCCTGACTTGATTCCCCCGATCTGGCTCGGTCTGTCTCGTAGTGGTTACCGTGTGTTTGATAAGTTTATGGATGCTGTTTATTCTGTCTTGTATGAATCTCTTGACTTATGTGTACCCAGCATAGGACCTTTGCCTGTTGCTAGTGTAGGTGCTTGTGCTTCTAGTGTAGGTGCTTGTGAAGTTACTAGTGAAGCTTCTGAGGCGTCACTCTCCTTCACGCTAGACTCTGGCGCGTCCCAATGCCTTCTCCGCGACCACACCACTGTCACACCTCTTGCTGATCCGGTCCCAGTTGTCCTGGCTGATCCTACTTCGGGACCAGCTGTCGCTCGCAGTTCTACCACCCTCCCATGCTGTCCCCTCTGGTGTCCTCGCTGGTCTCTACATCCCCTCGTTCTCTCGGAACTTGGTGGGTGTTGGATACCTTCAGGACCGTGGGATTACAGTCACCTTTCCTGCGCACGGGATGACTACGATCTGTACGGACACTTCCACTGGGTAGTTCTTGCCACTTTCACCAGAGAGCCCCACTTAGGTCTCTTCGTCCTGCACACTCTGCCCCCCTAGGTAGCTGCGTCTGGTCAGGTTACTGCGGCCAGTCAGGTAGTTGTCTCAGGTCAGGTTGATGCGTCTTGCTCTTATCTGTCACTCTCCCACCCGACAATCTTGTGGCACCACCGTCTAGGTAACCCGTCCGTCCCACGCCTCCGTAGCATGGCCAGCCAGAGTCTTGTCTCAGGTCTCCAGCGGGTCTTTGAGTTGCTCCCTCGCTTGCCTGCGCTGTGTGCACTCCTTGCGTCGAGGGTCGCCTTCGCGCCACTCCTCAATCCTCCTCCCTTTGTCCTTCCAGACCCTCCACTTGGACGTCTGAGGCCCAGTCGCTCGTGCTGGGCCCGAGCGGGAGCGCTTCTTTCTCGTGGTCGTTGACGACTACTCCAGGTACACCACGGTGTTTCCTCTTGCGAAGAAGTCTGAGGTGACTTCTACGCTGATCCGGTGGCTTTTGGCCACTAAGGGCACTCGTGGTAGTCGTGTCCGTTGTCTCCACTCCGACCGTGGGGGTGAGTTCCGCTCAGGCGTACTTGCCGGGTTCTGTGGCGAGTAGGGCATCACACATTCCTGGACGCTTCGGGTTCCCCACAGCAGAATGGGGTTGCTGAGAGCCGCATTGGCTTGGTCATGGATATCGCCCGCACCTCCATGATCCATGCCCGTGCGCCCCATTTTCTGTGGCCCTACGCGATTCGCTAAGCCGCCCACCAGCTGAACCTCTGGCCTCATGTCTCACAACCAGGGGCTTCACCGACCAGTCTTTGGACGAGGTCCACTGGTGTTGCGTCGGTGTTTCACGTCTCGGGCTGCCTTGCGCTTGTCCGCGACACCTCTGCGGATAAGCTTTCGGCTCGCGCCATCCCCTGTGTCTTCCTGGGTTTTCCAGTGGACTCCTCTGACTTTGAGTTTTACCACCCGCCCCTCCACTGGTTCCTCGACTCCTGTGACGTTTGGTTTGACAAGTCTATATCTTACTAAACCCGGTACCCGTCTCCCAGTTCCCCCCCCCCCCTCCTCTTTTCCTCACCCCCGCTCCTCCAGTACCCCCGTCCCCCCCTGGTCCTGCCCTGTCAGGTTTATCTTACGCTACCCCTCTGCCCTCGGTCGCGCGTCAGGTAGCGTCTCCCTCCCCGCAGTCCTCCTCACGGTCCCCTCAACAGCCTTCGACACTTCTGCGACAGGTTACTGTGGACTCAGGGGATGTTGGAGCTAGAGGTGCTACCACTGGAGGTACTCGGTCTGGGGGTGCTCGTTCGAGGGGTGCTGGAGCTGGAGGTACTGGCACTAGAGGTGCTGGTTCTGGGGGTGCTGGAGCTGGAGGTGGTGATACTGGTGGTGCTAGTTTTGGGGGTGCTGGACTGGAGGTGCTGGCACTGGTGGTGCTATTTTGGGGGGTGCTAGAGCTGGAGGTGCTGGAGTTGGATTTTCTGGCACTGGAGGTGCTTGTTCTGAGGCGACTGGAGCTGGAGGCACTACTACTGTTGCGCCCACTGCACCTCCCCACCGCTACGACACGCGTCTCCAGGCTCTTCGCTGGCTTGAGCGCAAGGAGCAGGAGCGGTTGGAGCAGGAGAGGCAGGAGATGCGGCAGCTAGACCAGCAGGAGCAGCAACAGGTGCAGCAGGAGCAGCAACAGCGGCAGCTGCAGCAGCAGTCGCGGCAGCTGCAGCAGGAGGAGCAGCAGCACCAGCCGCAGCACCCGCCCTTTTTGCAGCAGTTTTTCCCACCATTGAGTGGCCTTCGGGCCCTTGGTCTTCCCTCCTCTCCTCCTGTCCGCACACAGTCTCCTACTACGTACGGTCCTACATTTCCTACTCCGGACTCGGCTCCGGCTGTTTTCTCTCCTCCTTAGCCACGTTCGCCTCCTCCAGTTTTCCCGTACGACTGAACCACTCGTTGTCCTCCGCGTGCTCGTCCCTCGTCTCCTTCTGACGGCCTCCGCACTGTCGTGTTTCGTTCTAGTCCTCGTCGTGCTCCGCCTATGTCTGTTCTCCCTCCACTTCATGCGTCGTCTCTCACTGTCTCCTCTCACCCTATCACTGACTACTACAGTGCTGCTCGTCATGTTGTCTCGCGTGTTCTCGCCTCTCGTGTCACCGACCCTCGTGCCTCTCTGTCGTCTATCTCGGCTCTTACTGCCGCTGTCGCTGACTTTGCTACCACCCGCTGCCTTGACTTCGCCACACGTGTAGTAGCTGCTCCGCCTGCCCATCCTCTATCCGCCAGGGGTGAGTTTGCCCTTGGCTGTGACAACCTAGAAGACACGCAGTTTCTGGCAGCCGCTTCTTTCACTCTGTGTGCCATGTTGCTTTCCCCTGAGGGAGACCCTGACGCCCTTGACATTCCGACTCCTCGCACGTACCGTGAGGTAGTATCAGAGCAGTGGGCCTCTCAGTGAAAAGCGGCCATGGACTCAGATATGGCGTCTTGGAGATCCACAAGCACCTACGTCAACGCAGTTCCCCCTCCCAGAGTGAACGTAGTCGACGGCATGTGGATCTTTACGGTGAGGCGGCCGCCTGTCTTCAAGACGCGTTACGTGGCTAGAGGTTTCAGTCAGCGTGAGGGAGTTGACTTCTTCCAGACCTTCTCTCCGACCTCGAAGATGAGGACTCTTCAGGTGTTACTTCACGTTGCAGCACAGCGAGACTACGAGCTACACTCCCTCGACTTCTCCCCTGCCTTTCTCCAGGGCAGCCTGCACAAGGAGATCTGGTTGCGTCGTCCTCCTGGCTTCAATGACACTTTTCCACCTGGGACCCAGTGGAGCCTGAGACGACCAGTCTACGGTCTTCGCCAGGTGCGCCGTGAGTGGCACGACACGCTGCGCAACACTCTTGCTGCCCTCGGGTTTTGTCCTTCGTCTACGGACCCGTCACTGTTTCTTCGTTCTGGGCCCACACCTTTCTTCGTCCTCGTCTACGTCGTCGACTTGGTCTTTGCTGTAGCAGATAGGGCCGCTCTGGTGAGGTGAAGTCCGAACTGCAGAAAAGACACAAGGTGCACTGACCTTATTGAGTTGCGCCGTTACCTTGGCTTGCAGATCACCAGGGACAGAGCCCCTCGCACCGTTACACTCTCATAGTCACACATGATGCAGCAGGTCCTTCAACGGTTTGGGCTTCCGCACTCCACCATACAACCCACTCCTCTTATCGTTGACCACAGACTCACCAGCCCTTTTTCCGACGAGCCCTTTGAGTCTAGTGGTCCCTACGCAGAGCTTGTGGGCTGCCTCACGTACCTGAAGACTTGTTCTCGTCCAGACCTCGCTTTTCCTCTCAGCGTCCTCTCTCGATTTGTTGCGACTGGGAGACACCGTCCTGCTCACTGGATAGCTGCTGTGAGGGTTGCGAAGTACTTGGCGACTACATCAGGCATGTGGCTTGTGCTTAGAGGAAGACAGCCGGTTGTTCTTACCGGTCACTGCGACTCTTCCAACGCCGACGACGCGGAGATACAGGGGTCCACTCAGGGGTACTGCTTCAGCTTGGGCGCTGGAGCTTTGTCGTGGAGGTCTACTCGGTCATCGTCGGTCTCTTCGTCCAATGCAGAGGCAGAGATCTACAGTGGTGCCATGGCTACATAGGAACTTCGCTAGTTGACTTTCTTGCTCGCCGACCTTAGTGAGCGGCCTCGCTCTGCACCTACCTTGTTTGCTGACAACAAGGCCATGATCCTCCTATGTCAAGAGCCTCAACTGGAGAGCAGAGTGAAGCATATTGACGTGAGGTACTTTCTCCAACGAAAGTTGCAGTGGCGCGGCCAGTCACGCTTGGACTTTGTGGCCTCAGAGGCCAACACTGCAGACATCTTCACCAAGGCCCTAGCGCCTAGTGACTACCACAGGTTCTGTCTGCAGTTAGGCCTTGTTGACACTGGTGCTACGTTGCTGTCGCATTCTTTCTTGTTGCCTGCTCTGCTTGTCCTTGCATCTATATATATTTGTGAACTCTTGAACTGGCCTCGTGGCCGCTTCCTTGTGCTCGGAATGTATGGTGATATTGAGATCCACCCTAAGCGTTGCCTTGATTCTCTTGACTGGTCTTGTGACCCTTCATTTCCTTTGCTTGTTTTGATGCCCCTCACTTAGCCTATGGGGGTGTGTCAAATGTCATAGATCATATTGATAGGCTATAGTGAGTAGGGCTGTAGAGGGTACAACACTTTCTAGGTTTAGCATTTGTATGTCACACGTTGCTAGTCATCACCTTTTCGCTATGCATCACTCCTAAGATGTTGAAGTACGCGGTAAGGAATGTCGAAAAAATCCTTACATTGTTTCTCCTACCTAGGTGTAGGTATATTTGCTCATGTGACTGGTTATAAGACCAACTCGTGATTGGTTGGAAATCCAAGCCATTTTATCAGTTTAGAGATGTGAGTTATAAGTATTAGTCCATAGATATTATCGAACTGCTTGTCGCGGGCGCGTTAGTCGTTATTGCCGAGATCCGATAATTCATCGTCTTGAAAGTCCCGCCAATTGCTGAGCGACTAGGCATCTACTCGTTTCACCTTCCCAGCGCGTGCTGTTCGCGCCTCGAGAGGGGCCAGGTGAGATGTAGGGCTTCGGCCGACGCAGGCGAGGCTCGTCATCCGCCACACGGTCAGCCCTCGCCCCCGACGGCGCCGCCCTCGACTGCCGCTTGCCCTCGTGTCGCGTGCTCCTCGCGGTTCCTCTCCCACCCCACCCTCGCGACCCGCCTCGCCTGCGCTGCTTACCGTGCTGCTCCACTTGCTGCTCCGCGCCCTCGCTAGCTGCCTGCCTGCGCGCGTGCGCGCTCACCGCGCCCACTCTCCATCAAGCGCCTCACCTCCCGCCCCTCTCACTCCGTCGCGTCCATCCGCCCATCCAGCAGTGCCGCCTGCCAGCCGGAGCGGCGCTGAGCGCGCAGGTGCGGTGCGAGTGCGCCGCCGCCAAGCCGTGCTGACAGCCGTGGAGGCGCGGCTTCGGTGGGGTGTGCATGCAGTCGCACACGCAAGGGGGGAGGGAAGAGGGGGTCATGCAAGGAGGGCAGGACAGGAGGGGCGGGGAGGCGTGGCAGGCGGAGGTGGAGGAGGCGGTGCTGGCTGTGGTGTGTGACGGCATGGGCTTCAACAGACACGACGGGCTTCACAAGCTGCCGCTCTTCATGCAGGTGCGCTCTTCTGTGAGAGCGTCAAAATTTTGTACCAGAATAGAACAATCTAACAAATTCGCTTTGCACCTCACACCCGCTCTGCTTGCATGCCCATCCGTTGCACCCATCTGCACACATCGACTCCCTTCTGATCTGTTTCCACTCTCTTCATGCGTTCTCCCAACCCTCCCCGCCAACCCTGAACCCCTTCTTCCCCACGTTCCCCACTCCTCATGCACGTGCATGACACCCGTGTGCGTCACATGACACATGACACATGACACATGGCGCATGGCGCATGGCGCATGGCCCATGGCACATGGCGCATGGCGCATGGCCCATGGCGCATGGCGCATGGCCCATGGCGCATGGCGCATGGCGCATGGCACATGGCGCATGGCCCATGGCGCATGGCGCATGGCGCATGGCACATGGCGCATGGCCCATGGCGCATGGCGCATGGCGCATGGCGCATGGCGCGTGGCGCACGGCGCATGGCACATGGCACATGGCACATGGCGCATGGCCCATGGCACATGGCGCATGGCACATGGCACATGGCACATGGCACATGGCACATGGCTCATGGCACATGGCACATCGCACATGGCACATGATACATGGCGCATGGCACATGGTACATGGCACATGGCAGCTGAAGCGGAGCGATCTGAAGCAGATGGTGGAGGAACGGGGGGTGGAGGGCACCGTGGGGGCAGCAGCGGAGGAATTCGTGGAGTGGATGCTCAGTGGGGGGCAGGAGCAGGTGAGGGGAGCACGAGCAGGTGAGGGGGGGTCGACGTGAAGGGGCCGTGAGGAGGTGAGGCGGAGGCGAGGTGAGGGAAAGGGGGGAGGTGACGAGCGAGGTGGCGGGTAGGGGCGATGTGGACAGTGCACTCCCACGCTGCGCCTTGCGACCACCGCCCGTTGACAGCAAGGTCTGCCCCCTCAAGTCGGTACGAGTGACATGCTGTGAGGTGGCCTTCCATGCTCGCTCTCCTCCCTCCACCCCTCTCTCTACTCCCCTCCCCTCTCTCCGTGCGCAAGCATGCGCCCGTGCCCACTCACCTATACCCTCATCCCCATTCGGCATGGCCACTCACCTATCCCCTCAACCCCATGCGCCCATGGGCGTGGTGCATGGGCGTGGTGCATGGGCGTGGTGCATGGGCGTGGTGCATGGGCGTGGTGCATGGGCGTGGTGTCGTGTCGTGTCCGGCAGGTGGCAGCAGACGAGGCGATGCAGAAGGAGCTGGACCCCGACCTGCAGGCGCGCATCGCCCGCCACATTGAGCGCCGCCGACAGAAGCAGGCGCGCAGGGCAGCAGGGGAGGGGGGGGAGAAGAAGAGGAAGGGGAGGAAAAGTGGGGAGGGGGAGAAGCGAGGGGAGCAGGGTGAGGAGATGAGGAAGATGAGCAGGGGGAATGAGGAGGTGCGGGAGGAGGTGCGGATGGGGGAAGGCGAAGGAATGTGTGGCATGCGGAGAGGAGTGGAAGAGGAGGGCATGCGAGGGGATGCGGAGCGAGCAGTGGCCGGCGAGCAGACAGGTAAGCTAACTGTGATGTGCTGTGCGAGATGGGCGTGTGGAGTGACTATTCTTTGAGATGGGCGTGTGGAGTGACTATTCTTTGAGATGGGCGTGTGGAGTGACTATTCTTTGAGATGGGCGTGTGGAGTGACTATTCTTTGAGATGGGCGTGTGGAGTGACTATTCTTTGAGATGGGCGTGTGGAGTGACTATTCTTTGACTCTGCTGCCATCACTGCCATGTCTGCAACCAAGCGGCCACTTGCGTGTTCAGCATCTGACACGAGCTTTGAATGACCCTGTTTATACCTACGTTGGCAGATACGAGTATCACGTATAATACGCTAGCGTATTATACACTGGGTATATACGCGGTACGCTAGGGGTGGCGTACTGGTGATACGTAAAAATACGCCGGGCGGGCAGGTAAAACTTTTTTCCCGGGCAGGGCTAAAAAAACCTGTTTCAGGGGGGCGGGTTATGTTTCCCAAAAACACATGCTTTTTAATTTCATAATTATCCAGAGATACATCTTTGGGGCTACTTCTCCCCACCCCATACATCCCCACCCCACCCTCTAGCTCGCCTCCACACAGCCGAGTTCCTTGCGGGGCTTTTCCAACACCACCCCTGCCCCATACTCATCCGCCAGAACTGCATCCTCTCCTTCCCCCCCCAGGGCGATATGCGACTGCGCGGTAACAAATCGCCAAGTCGCAAAACCTTCGCGAAATTTTTCAATTTCGATTTTTTTTTTTCGGCGGGCTGCCCGGGCGTATTTCCAAGAAATACGAGCGTATTAGCGTACCACGTATATACGCAAGCGTATAAACGTGGTACGCAACCCTGCCCAGGGCGTATCTGCCAACGTAGGTTTATACTCTCTAAACGCAATGGCAGCAACGGCGCATACTCTAGTTTATCCGGCCAATGCAAGCCTCACAGAGTTGAAAACTAGAAACCGAAAGGATGCCTGGACTATGTTGTTGGAAGGATGCCTGGACTATGTTGTTGGAAGGATGCCTGGACTATGTTGTTGGAAGGATGCCTGGACTATGTTGTTGGAAGGATGCCTGGACTATGTTGTTGGAAGGATGCCTGGACTATGTTGTTGGAAGGATGCCTGGACTATGTTGTTGGAAGGATGCCTGGACTATGTTGTTGGAAGGATGCCTGGACTATGTTGTTGGAAGGATGCCTGGACTATGTTGTTGGAAGGATGCCTGGACTATGTTGTTGGAAGGATGCCTGGACTATGTTGTTGGAAGGATGCCTGGACTATGTTGTTGGAAGGATGCCTGGACTATGTTGTTGGAAGGATGCCTGGACTATGTTGTTGGAAGGATGCCTGGACTATGTTGTTGGAAGGATGCCTGGACTATGTTGTTGGAAGGATGCCTGGACTATGTTGTTGGAAGGATGCCTGGACTATGTTGTTGGAAGGATGCCTGGACTATGTTGTTGGAAGGATGCCTGGACTATGTTGTTGGAAGGATGCCTGGACTATGTTGTTGGAAGGATGCCTGGACTATGTTGTTGGAAGGATGCCTGGACTATGTTGTTGGAAGGATGCCTGGACTATGTTGTTGGAAGGATGCCTGGACTATGTTGTTGGAAGGATGCCTGGACTATGTTGTTGGAAGGATGCCTGGACTATGTTGTTGGAAGGATGCCTGGACTATGTTGTTGGAAGGATGCCTGGACTATGTTGTTGGAAGGATGCCTGGACTATGTTGTTGGAAGGATGCCTGGACTATGTTGTTGGAAGGATGCCTGGACTATGTTGTTGGAAGGATGCCTGGACTATGTTGTTGGAAGGATGCCTGGACTATGTTGTTGGAAGGATGCCTGGACTATGTTGTTGGAAGGATGCCTGGACTATGTTGTTGGAAGGATGCCTGGACTATGTTGTTGGAAGGATGCCTGGACTATGTTGTTGGAAGGATGCCTGGACTATGTTGTTGGAAGGATGCCTGGACTATGTTGTTGGAAGGATGCCTGGACTATGTTGTTGGAAGGATGCCTGGACTATGTTGTTGGAAGGATGCCTGGACTATGTTGTTGGAAGGATGCCTGGACTATGTTGTTGGAAGGATGCCTGGACTATGTTGTTGGAAGGATGCCTGGACTATGTTGTTGGAAGGATGCCTGGACTATGTTGTTGGAAGGATGCCTGGACTATGTTGTTGGAAGGATGCCTGGACTATGTTGTTGGAAGGATGCCTGGACTATGTTGTTGGAAGGATGCCTGGACTATGTTGTTGGAAGGATGCCTGGACTATGTTGTTGGAAGGATGCCTGGACTATGTTGTTGGAAGGATGCCTGGACTATGTTGTTGGAAGGATGCCTGGACTATGTTGTTGGAAGGATGCCTGGACTATGTTGTTGGAAGGATGCCTGGACTATGTTGTTGGAAGGATGCCTGGACTATGTTGTTGGAAGGATGCCTGGACTATGTTGTTGGAAGGATGCCTGGACTATGTTGTTGGAAGGATGCCTGGACTATGTTGTTGGAAGGATGCCTGGACTATGTTGTTGGAAGGATGCCTGGACTATGTTGTTGGAAGGATGCCTGGACTATGTTGTTGGAAGGATGCCTGGACTATGTTGTTGGAAGGATGCCTGGACTATGTTGTTGGAAGGATGCCTGGACTATGTTGTTGGAAGGATGCCTGGACTATGTTGTTGGAAGGATGCCTGGACTATGTTGTTGGAAGGATGCCTGGACTATGTTGTTGGAAGGATGCCTGGACTATGTTGTTGGAAGGATGCCTGGACTATGTTGTTGGAAGGATGCCTGGACTATGTTGTTGGAAGGATGCCTGGACTATGTTGTTGGAAGGATGCCTGGACTATGTTGTTGGAAGGATGCCTGGACTATGTTGTTGGAAGGATGCCTGGACTATGTTGTTGGAAGGATGCCTGGACTATGTTGTTGGAAGGATGCCTGGACTATGTTGTTGGAAGGATGCCTGGACTATGTTGTTGGAAGGATGCCTGGACTATGTTGTTGGAAGGATGCCTGGACTATGTTGTTGGAAGGATGCCTGGACTATGTTGTTGGAAGGATGCCTGGACTATGTTGTTGGAAGGATGCCTGGACTATGTTGTTGGAAGGATGCCTGGACTATGTTGTTGGAAGGATGCCTGGACTATGTTGTTGGAAGGATGCCTGGACTATGTTGTTGGAAGGATGCCTGGACTATGTTGTTGGAAGGATGCCTGGACTATGTTGTTGGAAGGATGCCTGGACTATGTTGTTGGAAGGATGCCTGGACTATGTTGTTGGAAGGATGCCTGGACTATGTTGTTGGAAGGATGCCTGGACTATGTTGTTGGAAGGATGCCTGGACTATGTTGTTGGAAGGATGCCTGGACTATGTTGTTGGAAGGATGCCTGGACTATGTTGTTGGAAGGATGCCTGGACTATGTTGTTGGAAGGATGCCTGGACTATGTTGTTGGAAGGATGCCTGGACTATGTTGTTGGAAGGATGCCTGGACTATGTTGTTGGAAGGATGCCTGGACTATGTTGTTGGAAGGATGCCTGGACTATGTTGTTGGAAGGATGCCTGGACTATGTTGTTGGAAGGATGCCTGGACTATGTTGTTGGAAGGATGCCTGGACTATGTTGTTGGAAGGATGCCTGGACTATGTTGTTGGAAGGATGCCTGGACTATGTTGTTGGAAGGATGCCTGGACTATGTTGTTGGAAGGATGCCTGGACTATGTTGTTGGAAGGATGCCTGGACTATGTTGTTGGAAGGATGCCTGGACTATGTTGTTGGAAGGATGCCTGGACTATGTTGTTGGAAGGATGCCTGGACTATGTTGTTGGAAGGATGCCTGGACTATGTTGTTGGAAGGATGCCTGGACTATGTTGTTGGAAGGATGCCTGGACTATGTTGTTGGAAGGATGCCTGGACTATGTTGTTGGAAGGATGCCTGGACTATGTTGTTGGAAGGATGCCTGGACTATGTTGTTGGAAGGATGCCTGGACTATGTTGTTGGAAGGATGCCTGGACTATGTTGTTGGAAGGATGCCTGGACTATGTTGTTGGAAGGATGCCTGGACTATGTTGTTGGAAGGATGCCTGGACTATGTTGTTGGAAGGATGCCTGGACTATGTTGTTGGAAGGATGCCTGGACTATGTTGTTGGAAGGATGCCTGGACTATGTTGTTGGAAGGATGCCTGGACTATGTTGTTGGAAGGATGCCTGGACTATGTTGTTGGAAGGATGCCTGGACTATGTTGTTGGAAGGATGCCTGGACTATGTTGTTGGAAGGATGCCTGGACTATGTTGTTGGAAGGATGCCTGGACTATGTTGTTGGAAGGATGCCTGGACTATGTTGTTGGAAGGATGCCTGGACTATGTTGTTGGAAGGATGCCTGGACTATGTTGTTGGAAGGATGCCTGGACTATGTTGTTGGAAGGATGCCTGGACTATGTTGTTGGAAGGATGCCTGGACTATGTTGTTGGAAGGATGCCTGGACTATGTTGTTGGAAGGATGCCTGGACTATGTTGTTGGAAGGATGCCTGGACTATGTTGTTGGAAGGATGCCTGGACTATGTTGTTGGAAGGATGCCTGGACTATGTTGTTGGAAGGATGCCTGGACTATGTTGTTGGAAGGATGCCTGGACTATGTTGTTGGAAGGATGCCTGGACTATGTTGTTGGAAGGATGCCTGGACTATGTTGTTGGAAGGATGCCTGGACTATGTTGTTGGAAGGATGCCTGGACTATGTTGTTGGAAGGATGCCTGGACTATGTTGTTGGAAGGATGCCTGGACTATGTTGTTGGAAGGATGCCTGGACTATGTTGTTGGAAGGATGCCTGGACTATGTTGTTGGAAGGATGCCTGGACTATGTTGTTGGAAGGATGCCTGGACTATGTTGTTGGAAGGATGCCTGGACTATGTTGTTGGAAGGATGCCTGGACTATGTTGTTGGAAGGATGCCTGGACTATGTTGTTGGAAGGATGCCTGGACTATGTTGTTGGAAGGATGCCTGGACTATGTTGTTGGAAGGATGCCTGGACTATGTTGTTGGAAGGATGCCTGGACTATGTTGTTGGAAGGATGCCTGGACTATGTTGTTGGAAGGATGCCTGGACTATGTTGTTGGAAGGATGCCTGGACTATGTTGTTGGAAGGATGCCTGGACTATGTTGTTGGAAGGATGCCTGGACTATGTTGTTGGAAGGATGCCTGGACTATGTTGTTGGAAGGATGCCTGGACTATGTTGTTGGAAGGATGCCTGGACTATGTTGTTGGAAGGATGCCTGGACTATGTTGTTGGAAGGATGCCTGGACTATGTTGTTGGAAGGATGCCTGGACTATGTTGTTGGAAGGATGCCTGGACTATGTTGTTGGAAGGATGCCTGGACTATGTTGTTGGAAGGTAAGCATACTTGTGGGTGGTTTGGTTGCTGAATTAGCCCAGAGGTCTGGACGCAACGCACTACTAAGTTGGGTTGGAGGAATCACTTGGGGTCCAGTTATCCTTGTCAAAGCGAGCTCAGATTCATGAGCTCGAAAGATTTTCCACGCCAGCCATTGCCAACCCCAACCTAATGAAAGGGCCCATGTTGGATCTTCATTTCCCACTCGCACCCACTATGTCCTGCATCGGCGCGACGAAGAAGTGACATGGGACGGCTTGGGTCGCGCACATAGGTCAACCCCAGTAGGCATGAGCAAAAGACAAACCCAAACAGGTTCAACTCGAACATGGTTGAAACCCGATCCGGGTCAAGTCAAGCATTTATTGGCAATTGAGGCGTTCAATGTTCGGGTATGAAAGTTCGGCATCAAACACCAAATAGGGGTATGATTTTCTGCTAGAACATCCTACGTGCATTCAAATCCACCTCACAGGACATCTAGCAGACGCCATCACTATGATAGAACGATTCGAACTCCCCCAATCCCGTCCGTCCCACTCACCGAATTTGACCAATATAACTGACAATCAAGCTGAACCAGTTTGGATCGAACCGTCTGGAGTACAACCGCGGGAGGTCGGACTCGAACTTCGACCGTTACGGTTCAACCCAATTCGACTCGAAGCGGTTCGGGTTCAGTACGTGCTCATGCCTACTTGCTCACTGTGCTGCCCACACCTGTTCCGCTCCATCAGTGCTCATCCCCCTTCCATGCCCGTATATCTCAACGGAACGGAGGTTGACACTCCGTTTTGCCTGTGTCGACGCCAAAAGGTTGACGCTTTTGCATTCCTCAACCTTCCCAGGACAAAAAAAACCAAAACCCTCTATAAAATGGATGCCTTTTGGGGCGGCATGAACCCTAAACACCATGCGGCAAGGTGTATAGGGTTGATGCCAACAAAATTTGCATGCCATTCCGTAGAGGATTTTTTTTTTTGCCCCCGGGCAGCGATTCTGCTGGGCGGGGTCCTTGTATGTTGAGATATACTATCCTTCCTCACCTCTCCCCTCTGCCCTGCAGGTGCTGCCCATCCACCTGCTGCCGCCCATCCTCCCGCTGCCTCCCATCCCCCCGCGGCTGCCCACCCCCCCGCGGCTGCCCACCCCCCCGCTTCCGCCCAATCCTCCGCTGCCGCCTATCCCCCGGCTGCCGCCCATCCCCCCGCTGCCGCGCATCCCCCCGCTGCCGCCCATCCCTCCTTCGCTGCCGATCCCCTGGCTGGTGCCCAACCCCCTACTGCTCACATCACCCACGCAAGTATCATCGCTCCCCATCCCGCTTGCCAGCAACCTTTAGTCTCCCCCCACCTTCCCCTCACCTCCCCTCACCTTCCCCCCACCTCCTCTCACCTTCCGCCCACCTCCTCTCACCTTCCGCCCACCTCCTCTCACCTTCCCGTCACCTTCCCCCAGCATCCCCTCGCCTCCTGTCAACCTCCCGTCGCCTCCCCCCAGCTGCTCGCTCCAGCCTATCAGCTCCCCTGCCCAGCACCCACCAAACCCCTCTCGCCCACCCGAGAGGGAGAGGAGGGAGGGGGAGGAGGAAGAGGAGGAGGAGAGGGATTGTTAGCAGATGCGTGGGTGGAGCAGGGAGGTGGGAGGGGGAGTGAGAGGTGAAGGGAGATGGAGCGCAGGGTGAGCGAGAGGGAGATGGAGCGCAGGGTGAGCGAGAGGGAGATGGCCCGGCTGCGCAGCCGCGGGGGGTTAGGGAGGGTGGGGGCTGAGAGTGGTGTGGCAGGGAGGGATGTGGGGCAGAGGGGCAGGGGGCACGGGGAGGGGCAGAGTGGTAGAGGAGGAGAGGGTGAGCGGCGGGGAGAGAGGGCAGGGGGTGACGAGGGGCGCAGGCAAGGGGCGTGCAGTGGCCCCCCCCATGCTGCCTCGCCGTCGCCATGGCCCCCGGCAGGCAGAGAGCCCCTTGCTGCGCCCAGCGTGATGCGCGCGGCTGCTAGTGTGGCAGATTGGCGAGACTTGGGAGGAGGGGGTGCAGCGAGAGGCTTGGGGGGAGGGGCACGGGGAGAGGGGAGGGGCAGGAGGTGGTTGGGAGAGGGGGAGGCAGCCAGGGATTTGGCAGAGCCGGTGGGAAGGGCAGGAAGCACTGTGATTGGCCAGAAAGGGCTGGCAAGTGGACTGCTGCTGCGCGCTAGTGAGGGAAGTGGCAGGGGGCAGGGGGGGGCGGAGGGGCATGGGCATGGGCGAGGACGGGGGAGCGTGTACGGGAACAGGCGTGAGTGTGCTGGTGGCGTTGGACATGGGGATGTGCAAAACAGGAAGGAGGCCGAGAAGGGCGATTGCAGCGAGGAGCAGCTCATAAGAGGGCAGGCAGATGTGGGTGCGTGTAGTGTGGGGGCCACCGCGGGTGTGGGGGAAGTAGCGGAGGGCAGTGCGAGAGAGGCGGATGCTGCCCACACTGGCACTGCTGGCACTGCTGGCACCCCCCCCTGCGTGCGCGACGACGCTCAGTCCCCCGCCGCTAACTGCGGTGGGGATGGCAGTGCCGCACCGGCTGCAGCAGCAAGCTTGCTTGGGGGAGCAAGCGAGGGGTCAGGCGGAAGAAGAAGAGGTCACTTGGGGGGCACAAGGGGACGTGGGGTTGGAGGGAGGGCGAGGGGCAGGGCGAGGGGGGGGCGCAGGGTGGTTCCCCCGCGAGAGGACATCTCGCGGGGCAAGGAGGCGGTGGCCATCCCGTGGGTGAACGAGCACAGCCACGAGCAGCCGCCCGCCTCGTGGATGTACATGAGGAAGAGCTGGCCGGCCAGCGACAAAGTGAAGTTTGTCATGTGAGCTCTCATCTGCTTTCCACTTTGATGTCAACAAATTCCTACCATGAAAGATGGGTAAGCTTACTAGTCATCATGGATATGCGCGATCGTGATTGGTGGAGCGAGAAGTTAACATGTACAGTGTACCTGTGGTTCCCATGCAGCGCATTGGATCGCATCGACACGTTCTGTGAGGACTGCCAAGAGGACTGCATGGGCGACATCCGGTGTGAATGCATGGAGCCACTGCGGGGCAACTGGGCATACACGAGGGATGGCACTCTCACGGACGTCTTCTTGAGGAAGGTGGAGATGGAGGTGGAGCAGGGCGAGGAGGCGGAGAGGCGGGGCAACAAGCAGTTCTGTGCTCATGAGCGCTTGCTGTTGTGCCCCGTGAATGCAGCGCAGCTGAAGCAGGCAATGGATGCGATGCCATCGGATGTGCCTGCGCCAGTGAGGCTGAGTAAATTTCTTGCGACGGCCCTTGAGGCGTGTGTGGCGTGCCCCGGACATCCCGTGCGCACGTTCATCAAGGAGTGCTTTGTAAAATGCGGATGCAGCGAGATGTGTGGCAACCGGGTGGTGCAACGTGGCATCACAAGGCGCTTTGAGGTAACATCACTAACTTGTTCTTTCCATATCACCGTCAACAGCATGCTCGAGCAAAAAGCCGAACACCGAACTGAACGGGTGCTTTTTTTTGCCATTTGTGTTTGGGCTGAACTTGTTCGTGTTCGGTTTGTCGTGGCTGGCCGAGCCGCGTCGAACGCGATCATTGTTTAGCTCGACCTCGGTACCTTCTCCTTCCTACAACCTCGGTCTTCGGGAATTGCCCGGTCTGCTCCTCGTCGATGAAGGGCCTGCGCAGCTTGTCGACGTACGACTGCTGGTGCAGCCACAGCTTCCTTGCCGGCCTGTCGCGCACGATCTCCAGCGTGAGATACTTCTCTATCGGGCAAATCTCGCGCAGCTCAAAGGCTGCATCCAGCAGCTCCTTCAGCATCGCGGCTGCTGCTGGCGGCGAGCAGGTCGTCAACGTAGACGAGCACCCAGCACGTCACTCCGTCGTCGCCGACCTTGAAGTAGAGAGCCTCGTCGACCTGGCTCTTCTTCCAGCCAGCGCCGGTCAGCACGACGTCGAGCGCCTTGTACCACAACAGCGGCGACTGCTTCAGCCCGTAGAGGCTCTTCAGCAGCTTGCACACCCGGCCGATCTCATCGTCGTAGTAGTCCGGCTGGTACATGTACAACACCCTATCGAGTTTTCTCGGCAAAAACGCGTTCTTCATATCGAGCTGCATTACGTGCAAGTCGAGGACGACGACGATGCTGAGGAAGATCCTCAGCGTGACGTAGCTCCCAACTGGCGCGTATGTCTCGTCGTAGTTAACGCCGTACACCTGCATGAAGCCCTTCACGACCAATCTCGCTTTCTCGCGGACGACCGTGTCGTCGATGTGGTACTTCGTCATCAGCACCCACCGGTTCTTCATGATGTTCACACCGCGCGAGCGTTCGACCAGCTCCCACGTGCCATTGCCAATGAGGCTGCGGATCTCCTCGTCCATGGCGGCATTCACTGCCTTGCCTTTCCAGCTCGCCAACGCCTCCTTCACCATCGTCGTCACGATGTCCCAGGGGTGATCGGGGTCGGCATGCACGCCGAGGTCGAGCTCAGGCAAGTCGACGTCGGCCTCAGCGTCGTCGAGCAGCGTGGTGAAGGCGGCTGACGGCATACAGGCGTGAAAGCTCAGCCGCTCCGGCGGCTTCTGACTTCGGCCTGAGCGTCGTAGTTCCGGCTTCTCGACCGGAACCTCCACCACGTCGCTGTCGGTAGACTCCTCTCTTGCCGATTGCTCCCTTTCGCCGACCGTTTGCCCCTCGACCTGCTGCTCCCCTCTCGTCGGCCCGCTTCCCGACTTCTCTTTCGTCAACAGCTCCCCTGTCGAATTCCCCGTCAACTGCTCCCCAGTCGGCGGCACTTTTGCTGTTGCCTCCCTTTCCACCAGCTCATCTGTCTGCTGCTCCCCTGTCGTCGACGGCCGCACACCCTCGTCGACGAGCTTGGCGTCACGTCGGCCGCCGGCGATGCTACTAGCCGCGACAAACACCACACTCCTTATTCACAAACTCCACAATCCTTAGTCACAAACACCACACTCCTTAGTCACAAAAACCACACTCTTTAGTCACAAACTCCACAATCTCTAGTCACAAACACCACACTCCTTAGTCACAAACACCACACTCCTTAGTCACAAACACCACACTCCTTAGTCACAAGCACCACACTCCTTAGTCACAAACACCACACTCCTTAGTCACAAACACCACACTCCTTAGTCACAAACACCACACGCCTTAGTCACAAACACCACACTCCTTCGTCACAAACACCACACTCCTTAGTCACAAACACCACACTCCTTAGTCACAAAGACCACATTCCTTAGTCACAAACACCACTCCTTAGTCACAAACACCACACTCCTTAGTCACAAACACCACACTCCGTAGTCACAAACACCACACTCCTTAGTCACAAACACCACACTCCTTAGTCACAAACACCACACTCCTTAGTCACAAACACCACACTCCTTAATCACAAACTCCACAATCCTTAATCACAAACACCACACTCCTTAGTCACATCACAAACACCACACTCCTTAGTCACAAACACCACACTCCGTAGTCACAAACACCACACTCCTTAGTCACAAACACCACACTCCTTAGTCACAAACACCACACTCCGTAGTCACAAACACCACACTCCTTAGTCACAAACACCACACTCCTTAGTCACAAACACCACACGCCTTAGTCACAAACATCACACTCCTTCGTCACAAACGCCACACTCCTTAGTCACAAACACCACACGCCTTAGTCACAAACATCACACTCCTTCGTCACAAAGGCCACACTCCTTAGTCACAAACGCCACACTCCTCAGTCATCAAGCATTGCAGAACTCGTTACCAAAAGTCATCTTAGTCCACACGTGTGTGCACAATAGCCCTAAACTTAGGCAACAGCACCATCCGCCATATCTGCGATGTCAACACATGACTGCCATGCCAACACATGACTGCCATATCAACACATGACTGTCATGTCAACACATGATTGCCATGTCAACACATGACTGCCATGTCAACACATGACTGTCATGTCAACACATGACTGCCATGTCAACACATGACTGCCATGTCAACACATGACCTAAGTTGCCAAATACGCTTATAGCGTATATACGCATATCGTATATACGCTAGCGTATGTACGCTATCCGCGTAGGGGGTCGATGTGGACATACGCTTTTTCGGGCAGGGAAAAAACTTTCCGGGCAGGGTGAGGAAAAAGCTACTCCGTATTCTCTCTATGACGTGCCCTAGCAGCATTCTTCGGAGTTCGAACGGCGGGTGGGGCGGGAGGTGGGGTAGACATTTCAGCCTGGGCTAGAGAGAAGTAGGGATGGGCGGGAGGAATGCTGTTGGAAGCGGGAATGATTCGTGGGAAATGACGAACTAGCAGCTAGGGGTCGATTTTGAAGGGTTGGAGTTTGTAGATGGGTTGGGGTTGGAATGGGTTTCAATGCGGTAGATGAGATGGGTTTCAATCAATGTGTGGATCTGAAATTCGACATTTGTGCCAAATGTACCTGAAAACTTCGAAGTCAGATCCTGGCTAGCCTAGACCACGGATTTTCATTTTGACTTCGGCGAAATGCTCACCTAGAAGTTCCGCAACTATTTCGTGATATTTTTTTGGGCAGCCCGGAAAATTTTCTGGAAGCGTATAGCGTATTCGCGGGCGTATAGCGTATTCGCGGGCGTATAGCGGATAGCGTACATACGCTATACGCTGAAGGGGTTGAGCGTATTTGACAACTTTGCACATGACTGCCATGTCAACACATGACTGCCATGTCAACACATGACTGCCATGTCAACACATGACTGCCATGCCAACACATGACTGCCATGCCAACACATGACTGCCATGTCAACACATGACTGCCATGCCAACACATGAGTGCCATGCCAACACATGACTGCCATGCCAACACATGAGTGCCATGCCAACACATGACTGCCATGCCAACACATGACTGCCAAGTCAACACACGTTTTGAAGTCAGATCGCACATCACGTATCCGTTGTTTGCTCTTAAGAATCAGCGTGAGCGAGAAGGATGTGGTTGTCCTCTGACCATTGCCATGCACCCCGGCATGCATGCTCTTCTCCTCTGCTGCACGCGCCACGCCACTGGCATGGGCACGGGCATGGGCATGGGCAGGTGTTCATGACGGCGGGCAAGGGGTGGGGGGTGCGCACGCTGGAGCGGCTGCCGCGGGGGGCGTTTGTGTTTGAGTATGCGGGCGAGGTGGTCACCAACACGGAGATGGACGAGCGCAACCAGCAGCAGGCGAGGAACCAGCGCGGCACCTTCCCTATCTACCTGGATGCGGACTGGGCGGCGGAGGGGGGGCTGACTGACGATGAGGCCTTGTGCCTGGACGCCACACGGCTCGGCAACGTGGCGCGATTCGTCAACCACAGGTACTTCATGGGGCTGCGCGTCAACCACAGGTACTTCATGGGGCTGCGCGTCTCCTCAACCATAAGTGCTTGGTCAAGTCAGCCATGAGTGAGTTGCTGGCAAAACAAGGGTTTGCATGCAGGTGACATGATGGTGGTCGGTAAGGGTGCATGTCAATGATAGTGGTGGTTAAGGGTGCATGTCAATGATGGTGGTGGGTAAGGGTGCATGTCAATGATCATGCACGGGGGTAAGCGATGTCCATGCTGTGGACCATGGAACATGTGAGCATGAGGCTCACGCCATGAACCATGGAAAAGCGGGTCATTGAGCCCCCCCCCACTTCTTTTGTTTTTGTTTTTCGTTCTGCAGGTGTGGAGATGCCAACCTCGTGAACGTGCCAGTGGAGATAGAGCACAAGGACCACAACATCTACCATGTGAGTGGGGCCATCAACATCTACCATGTGAGTGGGGCCATCAACATCTACCATGTGAGTGGGGCCATCAACATCTACCATGTGAGTGGGGCCATCAACATCTACCATGTGAGTGGGGCCATCAACATCTACCATGTGAGTGGGGCCATCAACATCTACCATGTGAGTGGGGCCATCAACATCTACCATGTGAGTGGGGCCATCAACATCTACCATGTGAGTGGGGCCATCAACATCTACCATGTGAGTGGGGCCATCAACATCTACCATGTGAGTGGGGCCATCAACATCTACCATGTGAGTGGGGCCATCAACATCTACCATGTGAGTGGGGCCATCAACATCTACCATGTGAGTGGGGCCATCAACATCTACCATGTGAGTGGGGCCATCAACATCTACCATGTGAGTGGGGCCATCAACATCTACCATGTGAGTGGGGCCATCAACATCTACCATGTGAGTGGGGCCATCAACATCTACCATGTGAGTGGGGCCATCAACATCTACCATGTGAGTGGGGCCATCAACATCTACCATGTGAGTGGGGCCATCAACATCTACCATGTGAGTGGGGCCATCAACATCTACCATGTGAGTGGGGCCATCAACATCATGTGAGTGGGGCCATCAACATCTACCATGTGAGTGGGGCCATCAACATCTACCATGTGAGTGGGGCCATCAACATCTACCATGTGAGTGGGGCCATCAACATCTACCATGTGAGTGGGGCCATCAACATCTACCATGTGAGTGGGGCCATCAACATCTACCATGTGAGTGGGGCCATCAACATCTACCATGTGAATGGGGCCATCAACATCTACCATGTGAGTGGGGCGATCAGCATGTGTATCTCAAGAGCATGTGAAGGATGTCGGCCTTCCGTGCTCTTCTTGCTAGGTGTGCTTGTGCTGGTGTTTCATTGGGTTGCACCCCTTGCATTGCAGGTGGCGTTTTTCACGCGGAGGGAGGTCGAGCCAAACGAAGAGCTAACATGGGTACGTACGTGATGTGATGTGTCACCAAGGTGCTTTTGTTTCGCACAAACATCAAATTGAGTTACGAATTGGTGGGGTAACAGTGTCTTTGGCGAGGTAACCTGGTGCTAGTTCGTGAGGCATGAAAGGGAAGCAAATCACGAAGTTTGTTGTTGAGGTTTTGTGTCACGAAGGGAAAAGTTGTGTGATTTCGCAGTGGTTATCTGTGCAGCGTAGACAAGCAATGGTGATGGGTGAGGTTGTTTTGTGCACAATGCTACCTGAGCCGTGCGCAGAGGCAGTGCCAGTGAGGAAATCTCAATGATGGTGTGAGTATGCGAAGGGCCTTCTCAGGGTATTGAAGGCCCTATTGAGCAGCTGAGCGTAAAGCTGAAGGGAGGATATGATGCCCTTAAGTCTGTACTTTTCATCTTACCTGCATGAGACTCGAGTAAGTGCAAGTGCGTGTGCGTGAGGATGACAATCAAACCACGTCCATGGCCTCGTCCAGAGCTTTGGTCCAACTCCAACACGTTGAAGTCGGACTTATTCCAACATCTGGTCCTGTCAAACCGAACTCAAACAGTGGGACTCGAACACTGCTGTGTTTGACTGCTCGACTGTGTGGTTGAACACTGGGTGTGCTCAGGTCGAGCCTGTTCCACTCCAACTCGAACAGGTTCGTATTGTTGGGCCCCATTCACCATAGTCACATGTGTCCCATTCACCATAGTCACGTGTGTTCGAGTGTTTTTCAGGATAAGCAACCTCGAACAGTTGAACATGTTCGGGTCGAACCATGAAGGTTCGCCCCAAACCTTTTTGGCCAAAAAACAATCCCTGTTCGACTCAACTCGAGCGGTTCAAGTCGAACTGAAGAGGGGTTTGATATTTTGCGCAAGTCTAGTCCAAGGTGGCTGCGTGGCCCCCTCCTCCAAGGTGTATCGCACTCACTTGTTACTCGTCAGACTGGGCATGGAATGTGAGCCAAACTTGAATTGGTTTGCTTCAGTCCCTGTTTTGTGTCACGTTTGTCTTTGTACCGTTCTTTGCTTTTTTTTTTTTTCCCCTTCTTGAAGAAATGGTTTCCTGGTGTTGTGGCTACATTCTGAACATACCAATGACCCACAACAGACAATTAGAAATGGAGATAGTAGTTGGTGGTTGAAAGCAAACATGCAAGCAGGAGTGAAGAGGGGTTCAAGATGTATGGCAGGGAGCTGGAGTTCAACAACCATTGATGCGCTGCCAAGTCAACACTAACCACACCTGCAAAAACCCAACCCTACCTCCCTTTTCCCTGCCCCTGCAGGGAACAAACCCCCTCCCCCTCCCCCCTAACCCCTCTCACTTCCTCCCTCCCGACGGACCCCCTCTCCCCCCCCCCACCCCCCTCCCACCCCCCCTTCTCCGTTACCAAAAAAAAAATTGGAAACAAAAAAGAGCACGATGTTGTTTAAGTTGAGAGCATGACTATGAGTCTAAGTTGCCACGTTGATGGTCCACTGGCCGCTTCGAGCGGCCACCTGAGTTGCACGTCCCTGCTGTAACCACTGTTCGTTCGCAGCACGATGCTGTTTAAGCATCCCCGTTAGTTGCGACTGTCAGATAGCAAGTTGGACTCGTGCATGTGGTTGGTATGGCGTTGCATGTGGTTGGTATGGCGTTGCATGTGGTTGGTATGGTGTTGCATGTGGTTGGTATGGCGTTGCATGTGGTTGGTATGGCGTTGCATGTGGTGGTATGGCGTTGCATGTGGTTGGTATGGCGTTACATGTGGTGGTATGGCGTTGCATGTGGTTGGTATGGCGTTGCATGTGGTTGGTATGGTGTTGCATGTGGTTGGTATGGCGTTGCATGTGCATGTTTGACCATTCAACTTCTTCTTTATTCATTTTTGCTTTGGCTTGAAAATTCACCTTGGCTTGAAAGTTCTAGAACGACGACGCTTGAAATGGGCACGATGCCATAAGACCGAGTGAACCAGAATCAATCTTTCCAGTCTTTCATATTTCTCTATGACTGGTTACCTTGTAGTGTTACCTTTTCCTCTCTTGTGAATGCAGGACTATACACTCGATTTCACTGAAGTCTCCTCGCTTCCCACTTTCAAATGTTTCTGTGGGTCGCCGTTCTGTCGAGACCCAAGAGCATCGAACAGGCGAGGAATGCGTACAAACCGATGACCATGAGTGCTATAATAAACCCTATCCTCTACCGCACCCCCGTAAGGTAATTGGGGGTTGATTGGAATTGTTATTTGTTAGAAAAAGAAGAGGATCTTTGGATAGGATAAGTCAGCTAGAGTAAAAGACAGCGGAAGTCTTTACAGGTTGAGCTTCATCATAGTGAATGTAAATGACTGTTGGAAACATATAGTTCACGCTTCTGCTGTGTCGAGCAGTATAACAAGAACGAAGCAGATCCACAGCGAAGCAACACCGAGTCAACCAAGCTACAGCGAAGCGGTTGACAACAGTACCGTATCACCCCAGATAGAAGCGCAGGTGCGCTTATAATAAAACAGTGTTTTTTAGGGGGGTGCGCTTGTAATTGAGTCATTTGTACAAGCGCATGCGCTTATATTATGACATATACAAAATTATAATTTGAAGACACCAAATTGTATATTTCACTCTTGCCATTTCAACCGAGTCGATTTTTTTCCCGTCACAAAGCAGAATCGCGTGCAAGCGATTCTCTTCTATCACACAGGGGCCAAGATGCGACACTTTGCAGTCATGCCAGCACATCCTGACTGGACGCGCAGCCAGTCAGGTCTTCGAGAGTCAAAGTAAGCGAAAATGAGATTACACTCGCTTCAAAATTGAAACTCGCTAACTCGCTTCACATGCGCTTATAATAAGTAATGTTTTCACAGGGGGTGCGCTTATAATTGAGGATCGGCCATAAGCGCATTGCTCCAGATAGAAGCGCATGCGCTTATCATAGGCCTGTGCTTCTATCCGGGGTGATACGGTAAGAAGTTGAAGCGAAGGTCAAAGGTCAGCAACCTTTGACTCGACGAAGCAGCACGACCGCAAGGACAAATAACTGACTCGCTATTGAGCAGTTACCCGAGTCGTCGTTGTATCAAACCGCATTAGCAGCTACAATTGCAATTAGTAAAACCTTTCATATTCCCTGTAATTATATAAAAGCCCTGTATCTCTATGCTCTTATCAACTTATCTTATTCTCACATACCAGCACAAGGTGGTTCAACCAGTCTCATTAAGACGCTTCCGCTAATACATTATCACTCTGAGCCTTATTCATTGAAAACGATCATAAAGGCTTTCTTAGCCTAACATGGTATGAGAGCTAGCAAAGACAAGGCTCAACTACCTTCACTTTCTACAGCTCATACAACAGAAGGCATGGCAACACAGAAGGAAAGGAGCTCGTCTACTGGATCTCCCGGCACCACTCCTACTCCACCTTCGGTCTCTGGACTACAGACAAAAAGGGGCACTGCCCAAGGACCAACTGCAGAATCTACTGAAGCCAGGGCTCTGGTTATCAGACCAAATCGGTCTGATGGTCTGAAAAACAGACCTACTTTTTTCGTTTCATATGATTTTCAAGACCAGTAATTTAATTTCATCTGAACCATAAGACAGAGGATTTTATTTCGTCTTACAAATAAGGCAGCGCGTTATATTTTGTCTGACATTTAAGACATCGAGTATGCTTTCATCTGATACCGACAAAGTGTCGAGGTAACCCCCCCCCCCCCCCCCCACCCTTCTTTTCCCCTCCCGTCTCCTTCCCCCCTGCCCCCTCGAGTCCCTCACCCCTCCTGCAAACCCCCACCCACCCCCCCCCCCCCCCCCACCCCCCAGTCTCTCGTTCCTCGACTACCAGGAGCCTCCCCGAAGTCCCTCGCCCCTCTAGCAGCCCAGCCCCCCCGCAGTCAAACTCGCTCCTCTACCAGTCAACACCACCCCCCCCCACCCACTCTCCCCCAATCCCTCGATCCTCTCCCATCCCCAGTTCATTCCCCCTGTCGTCGCACAAATTCAACAGAACACGGTCCTCTCTTTGTACCAGTCCCCCTCGCCACTTGGCTGGTCACGCCTGTCATGTTAGTCAGCGACTTATTCATTTCGTACTTAGCGACCGTATTATGGCCGGCCAGTGTAGAGTGCAATCAGACCATGCAACAAAAATCGTCTTAAAAAACAGACATGGCTCCAACTTTCATATGAAAAAACAGACAAAATTTTTGCCTGTCTGAAGGTCAGACGAAACAATTTTTTTGAGGGGGGATGTCAGACGGGCCTGAATCCTAGCAAGAGCCTTGACTGAAGCACCTGTGAATCCGGCAACTGGCTTCGACCCAAGCATGATGGAGAAGTTCTTCTGCTTCATGTCGTTCTACGAGCAACAACAAGTGGCACATGCGCAGTCAAACAACAGCGACAACAACAACGGAGTCACTCCCATGAGCCTTGATGGCTCTTCATTTGCGTGCGGAAATCAACAAACTACCTTCGCACCATATGAGCCCCAACGCGGCTCTGTCAGCTTCATGCCGAATCGACTCCCACCTGGACGAGAGACGAAGTCATTGGATGTACTTTAGTTGCAGTCACAATTCGCACACGTGCTAAAACTGCAAACAACAACGCCATTCGACGGGAAGGACTTCTGTACCTGGTCCTTTAAATTCGAGCTAATGATGGAGAGAGCCCAAATCCTCGGTTTCTTCGACGGTTCCCTGCCATACCCAATGCACGGAACACAGTACGACAAACAGCAGTATACGCATTAGTCACTGATGGCATACACCATTCTCCTGCGAAACATATCGGCAAGCGAGCAGCAGAACATTCGAACTTATCGCGGATACGGCAACTCTGCCGAGCTCGCCTACAACCATCTGAAGAACCTGTATCAAGCAAACGACAGCGTAAACCAGAGTCGTCTCATGGCGCAATTGACAACAGTCCAAATGCAACCCGGCGAAAAGGGAATGGTCTATATTAGTCGCTGTCGCGGTCTACGCGACAGACTCCTTCGGTGCGGCGGGGCACTATCCAAAGACGCCTTCGTCACCGTCGTCCTCGCAGGCCTCGGTCCTCAATGGTGTTCCACCCGGGCTATTCTCCGGGCCCACGAAAGACTCTCTGAAGCAAGCCTCTGCGCAGAAGTTCATGCCGAGCAACAAGATATGGACCTCCACGAAGAACGACACAAGAAAATGGCATCAGTACCAGAGTTTGCCTTTCACACTCAGAGGCACCACAACAACAACTGACAACTCGAGCACCAAGCACGAAGATACGTACCACCGTTCTGCCATCTCTGTCGAACATCAGGACACTCTCGCATCAACTGCTCAAATCATCAGCAGTCAACGCCACCACCGCGTCAGCTCCAACCCTCAAGCAGTCAAGTAGCCTCCACGCAGCCACAACCCTCCAACCAGGCGTAGTCTTCAATGTCAACATCACAACCTGCACGAGGAACAAGAAATATTGTAAGCTGCATGGCAAGAATGGACTCCTGCATCACTGAATCACCACCGACTTACTCACCAGAAGAACTACTCAACGAACGCACACCTCGTCACGGATCGCTGGAAACAAATTCTACGTACGCCGCCATCGCTCAGAACGAGCCGTCCGGCCAAGACACGTGGTTCTTAGACAGCTGTTGCGGACAACACACGTGCTCTTCAGATTGCTTTGTTCAACGGGAACAA